GCAGTGCCCCGAACTGCAGCAGCTGCAGAAACAGCCTGACCGCACGCATGCTCTTCCTACTGCTAGGGCTGCTGCTCAGAGACTGCGTCTTCCCTGACCTTGAAGCTGCGTTATCTGCCTTGGCTGCGAGGAGGCGATAATAGCCCCTGACAATAGCAAGAGTCAGCTCTGAGCCGGTGGAACCGGAAATCCCATTTCCCAGTCCCTTCAAAGCCTGCCAGCCCGCCTGGCACAGTTTCTCTCAGCAGCACTCAGCAAGATTACAGCACTAAAAATAACCCACACAATAAGTTGTGCATTAAGGAGAAGAAAGGACTCGCCCTCAGCGCGGGTTTCCCTTCCACTTGTGGCCTGCACTGTCCCCAGCCAGTTGAACTGCTCAGGTTTTGTTCTCCAAATTAAGCAGGAGCCGCAGCTGCTGAAGTGGTTTTAAATAAAATAAGGAGATTACGGGGTACAACAAAGAGCTAAGACACTTGCCAGTTTTTAAACAAGTGTCTCCCTCCCCTCTCTGCTTTCTATAATAAGAAACTGTGAACTAAATCTGCTTCCTTACCAAAACAGCCCGCTCTTCTTCCAGGAGCTCACATACAAACGTCAGTGTATAACAGAACTGAAACGAAGCGAAGGTTCAGTACCAGCCCTGCAGATACTCTGTGCCTGTGGGCATTCAGCTGCAGCATGGAAGGAAATCGCTGAGCCTGCTGGGTTAAAGGCACTGCCTGACCCAGCAGGAGGAAAGGCACACACCCTAACAGCAGGTGCTGGAATTAGCACTACCTGGAGGCATTACACAAGTTTTGCTGTTTTAATGAATACGGCTCCTTACCCCTGACTAGCCCAAGCCACAAAGCTCACCCACTTGTATCAGATCACTTTCATTAAAGCCAATCTGACCGGTGAGGAAATTCTTACACATCGCTTATAAATCTTAGACAATTTGCATTAATGCTGTCAAAGACAACCGGCTTCTTTCTCAGCCCCCAAACTGACTGCATGTTGACATGTGGCAATGAGAATCATCTCCACACCTCAGCAGCCTCAGCTGCTCATTTAATGCACAATTCACTGCTTATACACACAGCAAGTCATGTACTGGTTCAATTAATGACAGCTCACCTTCAGCACAAACACATTTTCACATATGCATTATCTAAACAAAATGCACGTGTGAGCGTGTGCAGACAAACAGAAAATGCTGACTGGCGTCTTACACATTTTCTCTGTCTTCAATTTGTACTCTGGAAGCGGAACGTTGTGCTCACAGGGAATGTCAGAGATGGAGGTTAAGCACAGCCAGCGTTTGAGGTACAGAGCCTGGGGGAGGGGAGCTCCAAGGAGAACAAGAGGCCTGAGAGGATCGGCACCACAGCAAAGCTCAGCTGCTGCAGCTCAAGCACAGGTGTTGAGCTCAGGGCATCTCAGCAGACATCACCTGGTGCTGGGATTGGATGAGCTCCCAGCCGGCACCTGGCAGCACACAGAACGGGCAAAATCCTCTGCTGTGGCTGCTGCCTGCCTTCCGATTCAAGCCACGCAATGGAAAAGGGGCTGTGGAGGGAAAGTTTAACGTAAACTGTCCTCATCCAAAAGAACAATCTCTCCTACGCACTGACCGATAAGAAAGCATCAAACAGCTGGAGACTGTAACAGAACAGAATCGTGGAATCATTGTGGCTGGAAAAGACCACCGAGATCATCCAGTTCAACCACCAACCCACTGCCAATGATCCCCTCCGCATCTGTACACAACTGTGTTCTTTCTACCGTTTTTCAGAGCAAAAAAAGGCAGAATAAACACGGGTTGGCTGTAAGCGTGAGGTCCTGCCCTTAGCAGAAACCTCTTCTTAGAGCACGTGGAGACCGCAGCAAGGAGCAGTGCAAAGGACCATGGTTACACACCGGCACCATCGCAGCTCACGGCCATTCCCAGCAGCTCCTTCCACACGCCGCCATGCCAGCTCCCAGCCTTACAGCGCCCGCAGCGTTTGCTGTCTCCTTCATTTTCAGGACACCATCTTCCCCCTCGCCTCGCTTAGCAAATCAATAAATCCCTCCTGGAACCCGAGGGCTCGTCTTCCCCGTGCTGCGGCAGCAACGTGGAACCTTCCAAAAGCGCCGAGCCTCCTCAGCCCCCCCCAGCTCAGCCCCATCGCCTACCTGCTCCGCCACCCCTCGATCCTCCTAGCGCCCAACAGCCGCACCGCGTGCCGCCCTCTTCCCGCCAAGCGCGCGGGGAGCGGCGCCTCGAGAACTCCAGGCGGTTGGGAGCAGCGCCCCCTACAGGCAGCGCGAGGCGGTTGGGAGCAGCGCCCCCTACAGGCAGCGCGAGGCGGCGCCGCGCTACTTACCGGGCCGGGCGGCTCGCCTGACGGACACAAAGAGGACACGCCACAGCTCGTCTCTTTACTGAATGAATTTATTGGTTTTTGAACTAAAGTTGCTCACAGTTATTTAACAAGGGATACATCAGATTTTTGTTGTCCATTTTAAACCATTAAATAACGTCAGTTTGTGTCTGTATATGTGTGTGTGCGCGCGTGTGTGTCTTCAAAGTACAAAATAGGAAGGATAACAAGAGGTATTGCTTTCGTTTATTCTTATATCTTGTGTAAGTAATCCCCTTCCTGCTTGTACCACGTGGGTTTTGCTGATATAGGTATTTTTTAAATTATTATTATTATTTTGTATTGAAATCCCAGCCTTTCGTAGAGGTACAATGTAACAGAAGCATCAAAATCTATACACAAGGGAAGAGAAAAGAGGGAAAAGAAGGACGGGGGTGATGGGAGGGGAGCTCGGAGGAGAAGTAGAGAGAGGGCGGAGGCAGGAAAGACAACGAAAGCAAAAGAGACTAATTTACAGCAATGTCATGCAATTAAAACTGCCCCCCTCTCCTGCACCCTTGCCTCCCCCCCTCCCCAGCCATCACCCCCTGGTGTCTGACATGCACACAGCAATACGAGAGAAAAGGTTGGGAGTAGGGAAAATAAATAAATAAATAGAACGGAAACGTAAAATAAATCTCTCCCGTTTTGGGGGAATGGGGAAGCGGGGCCAAAGTCAAAGGTCTTTGCCCCAGTTGTGTCTTTAAAAATTCGCTTTAATCTTCAAACCTATGTACAAGTAAAACTGGTCCGAGAAGGGGAAAAATGATTAAAAAAACCAACGACGACAACAACAACCAAAAAGAACTCATACAACATTATCATTAAAAAAAATAAGAATAATCTTGCGATACAACATACACCCATAGGAACCCAACGAGCAGCAATCGAAGGTCATAAAAGAGCTGAACACTAATGCTAAGCCTACATTCTTAAAATCTCAGTCAAGAAGAACTTCTCACTGTGTTTTGTCTTCCAGGCGTAAAACCACGTTTGTTTCTTTGTCTGTTTGTTTAACCTTTGAACTTGGGCCAGAATAAGTTACACTTGGTCACGTAACTCCTGAGGAGGAGGAAAAAAGGCGGCGATTCTTCTTTCTCAAAGTCACAAGATGAACACTTACGGGGTTGCTGTGTCTTTTTTCCCCCTCCTCCGCAAAATAAATAAGAATCAATGTTGCCTCTACACAGTCATTAAACAGAAGATATATCTAACAGCTTATTTTTTAAATATATATATATGTATATATAAATAACCAAGACCTAAGAACTGAAACGCAAAAAAAAAAAGAAGGTCCCCATCCACCCAACCCCACCCTCCTCCCCTTCAAAACCAAAACAAAACAAAACAAAACAAAACAAAACAAACCAACAAACCAAAACAAAAAGAAAAACTAAAACTTTATAAAAATATCTTGCAGTAATTTTTAAAGTTTACAGTAGCTTCGTGATTAAGTCTCCCATTGCCCTGACTCCACCTTGCCTTGCTCAGATGAACTAAGTGCCAGTGATTTGCACACACACACACACAGGAAATAAAACCCAAGATAAGTCTCTTTTCTTCCTCTTCGTCTTCTTTTTTTCTTTTTTTTTTTTCTTTTTTTTTTTCTCTTTTTTCTTAAGAAAAAAATTCACCCAAGCCAACGAATGAAATCGGTAACTTAAAGAAATAATAATACTGATATCAATGCAGCACTAGCAACACAACAATTGCCTCTAAATGCAGGGTGTGGTGGAGGCTCCAGCTGGTGGAAGAAGGTCCCAGCACGGTGGCACAGTGGCAGGGAGCTGACAGATGGGGAGGAAGGTGTCGAAGGAGGAACAGCAGTAGCAGCAGCAGCAACCGTGCCTGGCGGCGGGAGAGACAGTCCTTGGCAGAGTCTTGTCCCTCTTCTTTGCTACCAGAAGTTGCCTTTTCCCTAAGTTTTCATGTTTTGTTTGTATGTGTTTATTCGTTTAACCCCCCTCTCCCTCCTAAGTTTACTCCTTTCCCCTTCCAGCAGGTCAAAAAGCAAAATGAGACGGCATTAAAAACAAAACGAATCAAAACAAAACACAATTATTTTCTGTGTATATATATGTATGTATGTATGTATGTATATTTTTATCAAAATATACGCACATAAATATACATGTATATATACATTAAAAAAAGGCCAAAAGAAACAGAAAAGGTGGCGGGGACAAAAAGAAGGTTAAGAAAATCCTGTGATGAAGCTCCCCAATACTGTCTTGGTTCAAGGCTTAGTTTTGAGTTGCTCCCAGCTGGTTTCTGATGAGAACGCGCTCTGGATCCACGCAACACTGCGCTCCCACTACCCCGTCTCCTTCCCTGCACCCTCCCGCTCCAGGCAGAGTTCACCTGCGCAGACAGAAGCTGCCAAGGGCAAAGGTTTCACTCCAACAATTTGCAACCTCCTTTCAGCCCAGATTTTGCAATCCAATAACTGAGCAGATCTCTCTTGTGGAGCACCAAAAATGAAAAAGAGAGAGGAAAAAAAAAAAAAAAAAAAAAGCAATAATAATAATAATAAAAAAAAGCGTGCATTGGGGAGATGTTTGGGGAGAAGTGGGGGAGAAACCCACTTCCTGAAGGGAGAGGGGAGGCTGGGAACCTCAAACAGGACTGGTCCTTGGACAGTCTACATCGGTTGCCTTCCGTCAACAAGTGTCCGCAGAGCACAGAAGGTGAAGCCGTGGCTGACATGTTAACTTTTCGGGATAATTCCTGGTAGCAGAGCGGAAACAAGTGGTGTCGTCAGAAACACAGAGAGAGCATGAACAGAACAAGAAACAAACCGAAAGAAAACAAAAAGTAATCATAACAATAAAAAAAAACCCAAAAAATCAGGAAGGAGAAAAAAAAAAAAAAAAAAAAAAGAAAAAACATTCAAAAAAAGGGAGGAAAAAAAAAAAAAAGAAGCAATCAAAAAAAAAAAAAACCACAACCCAAGATCTGTCGAACTGGGTTTGTCATCTGTGCTACCTTTTCTTTTCTTTCTTTTCTTTTCATTCTTTCGTTCGTTTGTTTTTGTGTTTGTTTCTGAGATATATATTATATATCATATATAAATATATATATGTATATATATACAGTCATTCCTTCATACAAAATTTGTCTATAGACAGTTTTGTACTGTTGTGGCAAGGTATATACATCCTTCTAGTTTAGAGGCTAGCTCGCTAAGGAATATTCTTTCATTCTTTCTTGCTTTATTTTTTTTGTTTTTTGTTTCTGATTTTGTTTCTAAGTTATTTAATTTTTTATGTGTTTATTTAAGGTTGGTCTTGTAGGCCGACTGATGAGACCATCTTTGCCTTGTCTTTGCCAGCAGGGTACTTATTGTCTCCTCTAGACCCATAGTCATTAGAACCGGAATCGCTCCGCTTGCTGTTTGCGCTATGCTTGGTTGGCGTGCCGGGGGGATGGCTCACCTGCCCGTTCTTCTCGTCTGAAAAAAGTTGTTTAATTACGTCAAAGAAGTTACTCAATGGGCTGCCTGGGTACACAAAACAGAGGAGACAAAAAAAGAAAGAAAGAAAGAAAGAAAGAAAAAAAAAAAGAGAGGGAAAGAGAGAGAAAAAGAGGAGAGAAAGAGAGAGAACAAACAAACAAATGAACAATGGGGTTTTTAACGAGAAGAACATGATGAGGAGATCCAGAGCCACGTGCGTGGGGGTGTGTGGGGGATGAAGACAATGAGCAGGAAGAGGAAGAGTGTTTAGGATGGGACACCTACAGAAATAAAGAGGCTGGGAGCATCAAGCACCTACGGGTACATCCTAGTTTTGTCTTGAGCGGGTGGGCACAGCTGTCTCACCTAAAAAGAGGATGCAGCACCACATCGCTGAAATACGCAGTTCTGTCTATTACTTGCAGTCATTTGGCCATTCTGCACTGAAACATCAGTGAACGTAATGTGGGATACAGGCAAATCCCATCTCATTGTTGCTGTTACAAATGTCGTTGTTTTTTTGTTGTGTTTTTTTTTGTTTTGTTTTGTTTTGTTTTGTTTTGTTTTTAAATGTGGTTGCCAATTGATGCTTTGCTTTGCAGCCCTGCTAAGTTACATGGCTGCACTGGGGATTGTGCTCTTCTGCCTGCATTTTGCTTCTGAGTATCTCCTTGCTCACTTTTTAGACACTAGAACTCAAATGCTTAAGTGCTCCAAGGGAGAAAGTATTTGAAAAACAAGCGATGGCTGACACCACTACCTCCATCTGTATGTGTGATCTGTGGCTTGTGCTTGCAAGCTTCTAAGCATCTTCAGATCCTTCTTACAACAAGCACCTGGAAATATAGATACTGAATGCTTTGTAGAAGCAGGTTGCTGTGCATGTATTTCTGGCACCTGCCGGGGTCAAGATCTACTTTCTCATTGTCCTGAATTTATTGTTTGGTTACAATACAGCCTCTGGAACACAGACATTGATTTCAGAGGAGCTAGGAGCCACAGAAGGATGTAGGACTGCATGCTGGTGGAACAGGTATTCTCATTAAGCCAGCCAGAGGAGCAGGCTGTAGACATAACATGGTTCGGCACTGTACATATTTTAGAATGTAATCTTTCATGCCATTTGAAAAAGTCTTTTTGCTCACCATTTCACCTTCTGATTAAATCCAAGATTCACTTTACCAAAGCCATTTTCCAATGGGGAGCACGATGCATCACAGACGCACCTCCAGGGGCCAAAAGGAACAGACAGAGCCTGGACTGAATGTAATGAGTCTTCTTCTAAAACCCTCTAAATGTGGGCATATGAGAATTCTCAATTAACAAAGCACAAATATTATGTAAAGAGCCTCCATGTGCTTGACTAACAGCTATGTGCCGGGTTTAATTATGCAGCTCCAAGATGGTTATATGCAATTCTTTAACTGGTCCCTCAAAGGCCAGACAATCCTCTCTTCATTCCTGATTGCCTTAAGTTTAATGCGATGAAAGACCCAGCTGTGTTTCAGCACGAGCAATATCAATCCAGGAATGGTCCACAGAGGTTTCATGGCACAGCAGCTTGGGCTGGACCTGCTAAGGGGGATGGGATGTCCTTACAATGACCCTCTGGCCTATCTGCTAAAGAAGAGACCTGTACAGCAGATTCCTTCTTGACACTCTAATTCCCTTTGCAATAATGCGTATACCTCTGTGCCTCTACGTTACTGTGGAAGGTCATACTTGAAGAAAAACTCATGATGTTTTTCTCAGTATTGGGACTGTTGGCTCCACTGTTATAACAAATTCAAATCAGCTAATTTACGCCCCATCTAAGCGATTTCATCCTCCAGCTCCCAGAAGGCTCCTTGTTTCTGCTGTGCAGTGATGTGGTAGTTGTGAAGAGTGGGACCTTTCATCCCCGAGAGGGCAACATTCAGTCCAGAGCAAAGAGGCTTCTTCATAGCAGAGATCCCCACTCACCCACAGTTAGTGGAAGCTGGTGGCTTAATAATATTCTATTTCTTTTCACTTTTATTATACGCATAAGCAGATTGGTTACCACAGTGGGCAAGTACTGTCTCTGTGTGGTAACTCATATGAAGGACTTGTAGCATGCTTTCTTATTCCCTAAAGGAAGATCCTAGACAGACATCAACTGTTGATATGCAAAGAAAAAGAAAAAAGATAGCATCTGTGCCCTCCAAAACTGAATGTATTACTCTTCTTCCCCTGGCCCATGCTAGCCATGTAGTTGCTGCTTTCCTCTGTGTGGTAACAGGCATTGAGAAAAATCACATGGCTGACATACAGAGAGATGGATCTCAGTCTTACTCATCTAATTCATTCCTTGCCTTCCTGTACTTGCTGTTTTGTGTTTAACCTACTGCTGGCCCTGTTTCCATCTATGTGTCGAATTATACCAGCGCCCCAAGCAAATGGTTGTTAGTTTCTGGAAGGGCACCACTCAGCTAACAGATTCAGAGATGCAGGATGCAAACAAGCAGCCAGGAGAAACACGTAACTCAAATTCTGGCTAATAAAAAAAAACCTACCAAACTCTCAGCTATTTCTGGGTCAGAACTCCCCGAGCTCCACCTGCCTCCTTCCACATGTGTGCAAATGCTTTGGAATAGGGATAGCTCTTCCACATCTATACCTTCTAATTCACCCTAAGCTGCTCTGTATGCATGTTGAGCTCATGCTCATTTAATATCTGCTCAGACTCATTTCTACTTCAAGTGAATATTCTCTTTCAATGAAAAAATAAAGCAAACACTCAACCTTGATTGCAGGAATGTGGACAAATCTGGTCATTATGTGGCTTTGGACCCCTCATCCTCATAAGCAAATGGAGTCAGCAGAGAGAATGGAAAAAGAGCACTAAAAAAAATGCTGGATAGGGAAAGACTGCTAGGTTGGGAGAAAAAGGGAGGGAAGTATCTCTAGTTATTCAGCTGAGCAGTTTATTGAACAAGCTTAGAGGGAAAGAGGAGGGCAGAGAAAGAAGCGCTCTGCAGGAACTGGGAAAATTTTAGTTTTCACATAGACAGGAACAGCGGACAAAAGTACAACTTGCAAAAAGGGAGCAATAAAACATTTTGAAAATTGTACGTAAATATCTGGTTTGACAAGTTCTGATACAGGATTTTTAATCATCTTATTAAAATATGCAGCCCCTGTTTCATCCACCCTTTCTCCTTCCCATGCCCTACTGGCTTTCAGGTACCCGGAGATTTACTGCAGCAAAGAGTATTTAACAGTCTGCTTTTTCTTTGCCTGTATCACTACTGGATTTCTTACAATCAGCATTTTTCAGGTAAAATTTTAATGGGAGGTAGGAAATCCTTAGGGATATTGAATGAGAGCTACTGAAAAATAAAATAGGCCATTTCACTAACCCCTTCCTTTCTTTGCCTTTCACAGTGTCTGGACTTGTAATTAAAAACTTGGTATTAATCCTTTCATATCTTGCAGTTAGGAAAGGACTGATCCTAAGCCAAGCACTACAGACAATCACATTGATGTTATCTACACGACAGCTTGTTAGCCCACGCTCAGGCTTGTCTAGATACTGGTCTTTGAACAGACAAAGAGTCCTCACATTTCTCTCTGGGGATATGTAAACATAGGTCAGCTATGCTGGAAGCATGAAAATGGTGACTGTTGTTGCTCCTTTCAGTTTTCAGTTGCCTTTGGGCTGATGCGGCCAGTAAAACAAGACTTGAAAATGCAGGTGATGATTTTTAGAATAGTTTTTCCAGCAATCTTCCACTCCTTGCATCCAGTACAAAATATGCAATAGGCTCTTAGACCTGCAAGTCCTTCTGGGAGCCTCAAAGAGACTTTCTCTCTTATTTAAAAATGTGAGATGACATCCCATTTCCTCCGGACAGGGATGAAGGTTTGGCTTACTGATTTTTCAAACTTCCCTGATATTTCATGCATCTGTAACTAAGGTCTTCTTTCCCCTTGAGAGCAAACGTTCACCAACATAAAGAGGGCATGAAGGGCAGCAACAGTGAGAAACTGTGAGAAGGTTCAAAAGCAGGAAGGGAGGTTCAGAGCATTAGGTTTACTTCTGTTAGGAGGAGATGGATATGCGCATTTCTGAGTTAGTCCGAGGAGCCAGATGCTGCAAGATGGGGAGGGAAATGGGTTTGAAAACAAACACTGAAGCTTATGAAAGGGTCATGTATTGAAGGGACACTAAAGAAATAGGTTATGGAGAAGGCACTAATTTGTGGCACCTGTGTGCAGCATCACCATGGCCAAATTCCTCAAAGTGAATGCATTTTAACACAGACAGTAAACAGAAGAAGCAGGGCTGGGAAGGGGCACTGAGAGGTAAAAGGAAGCTGGGCAGATATCTTGTATCAACCCTCAGAGTACTCTATCTCATTTGCTTTTCTGCTGAAGTGTCACAGGGGCTAGGAGCAAAGTTGAACTGGCACATCCAGGTTAAGAGAGGAAAGAGAAAAGGAGGTGATGCACTCCAGGTACCAGGAGTGGCACCAGAAGAGGATTCACCTGCTCTGACCTTGCCACGACCCTCAGCGTCCTTCCCAGGAGATTAACAAGTGTGGAACAAGCAGCTTCTGGACAGGCTTGGAGGCTTCTATCTCTGGAGACTGCTCTTTTGTAACATTCTAAGATAGCCACATAAGGATTTGGTCTTGTTTAGATTCAAGCAAATGGCAGCACTCCCACGGATTTAATGAAAGCAAACTTTCTTGTCCTGTGAAAACATCTCTCTTATATCTATAATGACATTTAATGCACTAATCTTTTTGGTGCTGACCACCAAGTTGAATAAAGCAAATACATCATCTATGGGATTATTCTCTGCCTTTTCTTTCTCTGTGGCCTGATAAATTATTTAATTTCTGCACTTTTAACTTAGGCTTTGGAAGAATGTGAATGGGAAAACATTGGTCTGCCTTCTGCCTGCCTCTGCTACTTACAGCACAAATTCCTTTCCCTTTATGCGTTGGAGGATTCGTTGTTGTTTGTTTTTG